TCCTCCTAGAGCACCATTGAGTTCTTTGTAACCAAATATCTCTCAGAGGTGCGTGGGGAGGGGCTCCTTATTTTCATCTAAAGTAACAGACAGAGAATCAGCACTTTGGAAACAGGGCTGAAACAGAGGGGATTATGGGATGCTGCAATGCACAACTTGTTTGGTATTTCAAGCCAAACACTTCAGAGACATGTTTTGTATATATCTGAGACCTATAACATATTGATGAAAAACAGTATAATAGGGGTGGTAATTCTCTAATAAAAAAAAACATCCTATTCCAAAAGATATTTTATAATGACTTTTGAAGAACTGTTTAACTTAAATCAAATCATTAATGAGGGTTCTATATGCAGCTAAAAAAAAGCATGCACTATAATTGGATCTCTTGTCAAAGCACGTGGCACTAAGATGTCCAATTTGTCTAATAGAAACACATGCTGTTAGCCATGAGTTAGCATTCACTTCTCTACACTAGTTCCATCCCGATAAAGTGTATCTACTTAGTACTGTGCTAATGTATCCCCCCCTCCCCCCCTCCCCGACAGCCTCTTAACTATGAGAGAAAGAAGACCTACACTCTTCACATCGAGGGGACCAACACACATGTGGATCCTCGTTTTTCTTATCTCGGCTCCTTCAAAGACACCGCCACCCTTAAAATCACAGTGGGGGACGTGGACGAGGCGCCCGTATTCTCCATAGATCATTACATCATGGACGTGTACGAGAACTCGCCGAGCGGCACGGAGGTGGGCGCCGTAACGGCTCGAGACCCCGACAGCAGGAACAGTCCTGTTAGGTGAGACTCTTGAACTCCTACGTCTGCAGAAATGATTACAAGTATTCAGCGGCTTTATAGGCATCCTGTCTCTTAGCTGTGCATCATTGAATATAATTGAAGATCTACATTTTTGTCTTGTGTAGGAATATCACACACTGCGGAAGCAAAGGGGTAGAGAGGGGGTTGTTAATATTATGAGACTTATTTAGAGGCTCAGTGGTCTTTCATGCGGCCAATGGAGCTATGTCACTTTGTCAACTAATTGGCTCTCGCAAATGTCATATTTTTTAAACATGTTTTTTCTTTGCCAGATTGGTATCTAGAAATGTCCAAAAAAAGGCTGGTCACCATATCGGTTTGGATTTGTTTAGTTGGTATAGCCTACCATTTTCAGCCAATCATTTTGTTATTAGGGTTGGTGCATATTTTTGCATAGCTGAAATCATCAGGATATTGCTTGCTTATTCATTCAGCTTTTGATTAGTTTCCTGCATTTTGGTTTACTAGTTGGATGTGTTTTCTGCATAAAAACGGAGGTGCCTTTGATTTGTCCTTTGAGGTTTAAGTCTAATGAGATTATTTCTACCTCCGAGAAATGTTTGTCTAACTAAAACTCCAATTTGCATGTCATATCTCTGCCCCAAAATAATGTTTACTTTTCGATATTTGCATTTTTGTAGCATTCATTTGGAATCTATTTCTTAACACTTTGGTTTACTTGGGTATGTGTCACTATGCACTTGTAATGCATTATTTGTGATTCAATTTCATCATATGCAATATTTTCTTTCTTTTTGCACCATATGGCAATTTCCCTAATATTCAGACTGCAGATGTTTCAGATACTACCAACAGTGTTTCCCCTAGGATGGAGTCATAGCAGCGGTGCTAAGGCACGTGGGCCCAAAAATCGGCCCTGCCAGTACATACAGTGGCAATGTCTCAAGATGTAGCAAAAATACACCTTTATTGAACATACAGTAACACAAATACTACAAATCCACATAACAAACAATCAAAAACGAAAAAGGGTCGCCACTTATTATTTTTTTAATAATAAAAAAAAAAGTTAATTTTTTATTTTATTTTATACAATAGCGCCGCCGCTATTTGTATATAGGGGAAACACTGACCAAATAAGAAACATTATGTTAAATAGATTGAAAATGGTGCTGCATTATATTTAATAGCTTCTTTGTTTGTTCCTGCGACTCTTCATGCCCTAAGCATTTCACGTACCCTCTAAAAATCAGCAATATACATTGTGAACCTGTCTCATTATTTGGCATCATCTGATGGATGGTTGTTTTGTCTACAAGTCTGAAAGTAACCTGAGGCAATACAACTGCTTAGCACATTAGTATGCATTCAAAACACATACTTGTGGACTGTTGAAAAAAGATTGATGTTACCCTGAGGCAATGGACTAATCCTAGGTGTTCGCTCTGCACAGGTAGCTCGCTTCGTGCACTGTTTGTGTTAATTTGAATTCCCTGCATAGCCTCAGTGTAAATGATGGAGTAGCTGTAAACATGAAGCTCCTTGTGAGATTAGGTTTTACTAATATATCAATAAGAAGTAATTATCTGGTGCTTTTACATGTTATAGTGCCACAGTTCAAAGCCTTGCTGTAGGATGCAGCGCAGGACTCCTTAAAAACATTCACCTCTGGGCATCTTTTTAAAAAAAAGTTGCTCTCTCTTACAAATATCTTCTCATCAAGAATCTGAGAAGGAATTATACATTTCTATTGTTTTCCACTTTCACTTAGTCTACAAATATTTAAACTTACTCCAGCTCTAATCACAACTACCAAATATGAATTTATTTTCAAAATGTTAACCTTTTTAAATGTCAGTTTGTTTACTTAATGGCAGATATATAAATGTTTGGTATGTCATTGATTAGCCACAGATTTGATGTTGATACTAGAAACCAGAAAATAGCCCATTTGTGCCCATTAGAGTAAACATGAGAAACAGCTCTGGGGGGAAATAGTAAATGGTGCAATTTTGAAGATATAATAAAATTAAATGCTGTTAATGTAATGGCTTTTGGCACAACACATGTGGTTTATTGTGGCTACATGTGGACATTTGTATCATTAAGGGCCAGAGTGGCTATTTTGGAAACACAGTTTATTATAGACTTATTATAGGGGCTGAAGTTGAAATTCCAAAAAAGGAAATTGATCCCAGCCAAAACGATTGAACACAAATAATCGCCACAGATGGTACTAGTGTTGCATAAGGGTTAAGAACAGTGTCTTATGCCTGTAATAATGTCCTGGTGATCTGTTCAGTTCTGCATGAAGCTCAATTAAAAATGGGAGAAAGACTCGGGGTAAAATGACAATTTGAATCATGTCGGTATCTTAAGACTTTGTGAGAGATTTGATGTAAACAAGAAGTTAATCTACATATGAAAGGGTTTCCCTGCACTCCTTGTGGGATACCTTGTCCTCGGCCATTCCTACAGAACATCACTCCCAATGTTCAGCTCATAAAGAGGAAGCTAACGAAACATATTTCCATGACAGACACTTGAACCCAGAGAATAAAGCAACTGAACCACTGCTCCCCGTGTTGGTATCAGAATACAATGCAGCAGGGATCAGTATTTGGCTCTCTTTGATCATCACAAGTCTTGCCAATGAATGCAATAAAATAAACATCTTATTGAAGTGACATTTCTAATCTCACTCTGGTCTTGATATCTAAATAAGCTAACAAAGACTTGACAGCTCATTACCTCTGGTTGCTCTTATACATTATCATAATCATAATCAAACCGTTTGAAAAGTTGACTTTGAAGCACTTCATGGACTCGAGTCAGCCCCAGCTTCAGCTTGTATTAACTGAGTAACATGCTTCTTGGTAGAAGAATTAAATAATTGGACATTTTCAAAAGTGTATATGTTTTGTTGTGTTTTGTCTCACAGCCATGAAAGTTACATTTCACTTTTTTATTGAACTAGCAACGGTGTTGTTGTGTTAAAGGCAGCGTCTTTCTGATCTGCTATACTATAGGCTTTCAGCTGTCTTGATGTTTGCATACTTTTACACAAACTATGCCAAAGATGGAGGCAATTATTGTGCATATGGAAATATGAAGCAGTTGTTGCAAAACATATATAATATTTCCCTCTATTAAGCTGTACTGGAACATAATGAATGCATGATGTAACATTGTGTTCTTTTAGCTAGTTCTCTGCAGAAATAAGAAAATAACCAAAAAATAAATGCAACAAGAACCAAGATGTATCTGCAGCAGCAGTAATTACAACATGTTTTTCTTCTTCTCTGCCCCCTAAACTCACTGTTACTGCAACAGCCTTCATGCTCTTATAATTCCAGAGCCTTTAATACATCTTGACAACCTTTCTACCGAGGGAAGATATAAATGCAATCCTGGTGTTAATATCCCTGTACCATTTCCGTCATTCATGCTAACTGCAAACTGAGGCTGTATTACTCAAGAGAATTAATGCTGCATTAAAGGTGTAAATTGTTCATACATACATTAGGTAACACACAGTCAATGCTCATTTCGTGCTTGAACTTGTGAGTTGAGCAGCAGTAATGTTTCCGCTATGCTTTCATTGGCTGCTTTTCTTTAGTTTGATAACAACGTGGCGAGAATGCCATTACTACAGTGTAAACATTACCAGCAGAACTTCGCCTTTTGTCGTTATTAAATATTGAAGGTAACTGCTCTTGACTTATAAATACGTATTTTCAGAAAAGTGTTGAAAGTCTATTTAAAAGCAGTAGGGTTTATTCTATTAATTTTCTTAGGATAAGACTTTGAATACCACAGAACCATAATAGCATCCTCTTTGTTTTTTTGCTGGTTCTTTACAGTACACTGCTTAGTTTTGGTCGACTGAATTTCAGTTTGCTGTGTGATATAAGTAAGCAAATATGTTTTCTAATGCCTCCAGTCATTGCTGAAACACATCAAGTACCTGCATTATGTTCTGAGGCATTTAAGTAACTTCTATTTGGCTGAAAAGGGCACCGATTTAACACAAAGGATAGTTTACTGATAATGAGCAGTATTTTTCAGTTTCTGAAAACAGCCTTATAATGTGCTATGTGGCTCTCTAAAAAGAGCTTCCCAAAGGTAATGACAACAGTTATCTCGCATAGGGCTTGTAGACTGCTAACTACACTGAACAAAAATATCTGGGGGGGGTCCGAAAAGTCAGTATCTGGTGTGAGGGTTAGGGTTAGGGTAATGTTGTGAATCGAGTGGCCCATGTTGGTGGTGGGGTTATGGTATGGGCAGGCGTATGTTATGGACGATGAACACAGGCCACTCGATTCACAACATTACCCTAACCCTAACCCTAACCCTAACCCTAACCCTCACACCAGATACTGACTGGTTTTCGGACCCCCCAAGACCCCCCCAATAAAGCAAAAATGCACATTTCAGAGTGGCCTTTTATTGTGGCCAGCCTAAGGCACACCTGTGCAATAATCATGCTGTCTAATCAGCATCTTGATATGCCACACCTGTGAGGTGGGATGGATTATCTCGGCAAAGGAGAAGTGCTCACTATCACAGATTTTTTCAGATTTGTGAACAATATTTGAGAGAAATGGTTATTTTGTGTATATAGAAAATGTTTTAGATCTTTGAGTTCATCTCATGAAAAATGGGAGCAAAAACAAAAGTGTTGCGTTTATATTTTTGTTCAGTGTACTAACAGGAAGAAGAGTGAAACAATTGTATATGTGTAGTGGTAAAAAAGAAGTTAGGGTTTGTGTTATAACAATGTATTGAGTACATATCGTCACTTAGTGTGATAGACCAGCATCACCACATTGCTTCTATTTGGACTGATGCATTTGTTTTACATTGTTGTTCTCCCCATGGTAGGTGCTTGCCCTTGTACTTTGTGAGAACATGCTCATCACTGATCAATTTGACAGTCCTGAAGCGACCCAGAGACAACGCGGTAAAAGCACAACATTTACCGACATCAACATTCAGTTTCCGCCCCGTCAATATGCTCCAACAGATGGACAGACGCAATGAGAACAAAAAGGGAAAATCCAGTCTGTGTTATGAATGTATCTGTCTGACATCGAAAGCTCACAATGGACAGACACAGCCAAAACAAACTTTTCCGCCATTTCCTAAAAAGACGTCAGTAGCAATTTTCGGACAAATTCAAAGATGTTTGAACCAAAAGTGCTTGGAGCGGTCGTGCCAAAAAGTCAGAGTGTTTTGAACCCCCTATGGTGAAGCACTATTTTCGAAACACTCTCTCCACAATGGAAACAATTGACAAAAACATGCTGGCACTAAGAACTAAAAGGACAGTTTTTAACCATCAATCTTGACACTTTTTAGACAACATAATGTATGCTTACTGGACACTTCCAACTAACAGTGTCCTGCAGAATATCCAATGTCCTCTTAATCGTTTTTTCTTGCCATCACTGTGATTTTTGTATCTGGAGTGGATAAATTATTTTACATTTTCCTTGCATTAATAGGTACTTCTTGGACAGCAAAGAGGAAGGAGTGCGGTACTTCAGGATCGATGAGAGCAGTGGATTAATACGGACCACTCAGTCTCTGGACAGGGAAGACATGTCCTGGCACAATATAACTGTGATAGCCTCGGAGGTTGGTAGGTACCCAGGCTTCTTTCCTTTAACTCAATGTGTACAAGTGGGCGAGGAGACATAATGCACCAGCTGCGTCTCTATGTGGTTTTTCACGAGCGGGCAGCATTTATATCGTAAATAAGTGTAGCCTACAGATGCATCGGGACATAAAAATTGTTTTGACATTTTGTAATAGGGTAAGTTAATGAGGAGATATTGAGTTACGCTCATACCACACAAGATATTCTCTTCACCTTCTGACATCTACATATTTAAACACCCGTGTTGGATACCTTCAGGGACTGTAGTAAACACATGAAATGCTATTATCCAGTTGCCAGAAAGAGGCAGTTAAATAGATTGCTCTTTCTTTCCACACTCATCTTGTTTAGCCCCGGGCTAATAGGAGACATTCTAAATCGTAAGCAAAATTGCATTGAAATCATGGTGAGCTTTGTGCCACAACAGCGTGATTTAAAGAAAACCAATTCTGAAATGATGGTAGGTGCTGGAGTCATACAAAAAAGGTTTCATCCCTTTCCCACAAGATAACAAGACAGCCTCAGGGGGTCATATAACCAGAGAGCAGTCCTGGATCAAAATCACAGTGTGTAAGATAGGAGATGAAATCAATATCAACAAAATGGAACTTTAAAAAAAGAAGAAGGAAATACTACATCAATCTGCACTGCAAACCTCTTTGTTTGATATCAGAATAAACTCACCCTTTAAGCACAGATAATTGATTAGCAAGGACTGCCCCTTATTCGTCAACTAATCAGTGATTCTTGTCTTTTTCAACTTGATTTATTGGTCATTTTGTAAAGCTTTTTCCATGCCAAATGACCTATTTATGTGAAATATATCTGGTCAAGTAATCGTAATAGGCAAATAAAACTGTCAATTGTTAACCTTCTATCAATCGCACTGTGGCATTCCTATACCTGTTCACAAGCTGCAAGATGTATTACTAGTATCAGTAATATCCAAACTACAATAGTATTTAAACACAGTATCCTTATTAGTTATAGTGGGAGTAGCAATTAACATCTGGAGAAAACAGGGAGTTATGACTTCATTTGCATATTGATTGGAATGCATTCAAATAGGTTACAGTGTATTTTTCTTATAATTAACTACAACATCGAATTAGTCCCAATTGTTTCAATGTCCTTTCCTGCATTGGAAATTAATTAAATCAATGCAGGCCCTGCTAACTTCAAGAATTGCTATCAGGTAATTTGGCTAATTTGTAATCACAATTAGGCAAATATCTTTCCTACCAACAGAGGTGCTGCATGCTAATGTTTCTTTATCTCTCCACCACCCTTTAGTCTTCAAGGGTACAATTACAATCCAAGACACTGTCAAAATGCAAAGTTATAATTGTTGGCACTACTGTATGTAAAAGAGCAAGGACGCAGACTCAGAGACACAAAGAAGTCAGTTCAAAGACTTTAGCCGCCGCCTTATAGCCAATTTGAGAATGAATGCATGATTGAATTTCACTGTTGGTTTTTTAAAAATCATATTATGTTAAAAGAGAAGAAAAACACTCTTGTCATTAGGTCCAGGTATAAAAACCAAAAGAAGCATGTACTAAGTAGCACTAATACTTCATCAACAATACAGCATTTGATTATTTTCAAACCCAGATGTAGAAAATAATGACTCTTTGCATAGTATTGCCAATAGCAAATGTCCTTATACATTCCTATATTTAATGCAACTCAGCGATACCCATACTTGTCAACCCTCCCGATTTTCGCGGGAGACTCCCGATTTCATTGCCCTCTCCCGGTTTCCTCCCGGGGTCATATTTCTCCCGCATTTCTCCCGATTTCTGACAAAATCAGATTTACACACGACTGTTTCCACTCGGACTTTAATACAGCTACACCATTGTTTGGTTCCCATGGTAACACGTCTCTTTAGTAGCGCGCGCAACTCAAAGTCTGAGAGGGTGAGGCAGATATTCACAGAAAACTGAACAAGAATCGACAACTACTCTACTCTCTGCTCACTCCTTTCCTGTAAAATACAGGTCCAGCCCACACATATGCTCCATCAAGGACGGTGCTACAGGCCGCAAGTCAGTGCACTTACAAATACAATAAGCATGTTAATGTTAATCTAACAGCTCCGGCGATCCACTATTGCTCACTGTAGTTTGTTGTTGTCTGAACCGCAATTTTGCTTTTACAATGCTCCGCTTATCTGCCGGTAATCCACCCTCCAAACGCCAACAGAAACGACTGAAACTACTTTTTTTATATCGGTTAGCCCACACTTATCAGGAAGGAGCTAATGAGACAAGGACAGGAGCAAACAACTAGGATGTGTTGGAGCGAAGGGCAAGGACAAAAGACAAGACGAAGGGTTGAATGTGACGGCAAATGAACAGCATTAGTTGGTAACGTTTTTATTTCATTCCCACGATTTGGTCTAACGATACTTGCATGTGCGATTGTTGCATTTAGGCCGTCTTCATCGTCTCTTCTTCGTCATGAAAAAAAGGTCTTTGAGCGCCCCACAGCATAATCCTTTCAAAAAGTTCCAAACCCAATTCGACCGCAGTGCCAAATCAATTCCATTGGTTTTAGTTTGCGTGTCACATTTTAATTACGCTGAAGAAACTCGCATTCAGGGATTTCAGGAGAGTCTTCGTCCGAACCCAGAAGTGAAAGAATTTACCAGAAGATGGAAGAAAGTGTTAAAAGTGTAATATAAACTAAATGTGTTTTCTGTTGTTCGTTTCTGTGGGTGGGGCTTTATGTACAAAACCACTCCCAGATTAACATTAGACAGTCTCGACGCTTGACATAACATGCAGAGGTGAACGCTGAAGCTGTATCAACCCTCTCAAAAAACAGCTCGGTACCAGTTCATTTGAGGTTGAACGGAAATCCCCCCTCTGAATGATAATCACTTATGAGCCCTTTAACAGACCATGCCAGAAAAGGCTCAGTGAGCTCTCTTAATAATGGATCCGTATCCATTTGCATTAGTCCGCTCGAACCGGTGTTCCGTTTCTGATCAAGGCTTTGCATTCAGAACGTACGGCCCCCACAGCAAACTAAATTTTCAATCTACTCGTCCACTTTATTAAACACCTGATCACCACCACCACACAACCCACACATTCTTTACAGCGAGACAGTCTGCTCTTTCACATCCGCCTCTCCTTACCCTGAAGCTTTTTACCCTGAGCACGGATTTAAAATGGGTGTGGGAGCTCATCCGGTGAATGAGGCGTGTGGTTGGCGCAGTTGACAGTGCTTTGTGTATGGGATCAGGGGTCACAGGTTCAAACCCCCTGCAGTCAGGCACTGTCGGGCTGTGTCCCTGAGACCACTTTTCCACGCCAAAGTGCTCCTGTGGGGATTGCCACAGTATATGAGCCTTTGATAAAAGCGTCTAAAAAGTGACATTGTAAATGTTAATGATTGATGATTGCCATGATAAAGGCTTCTATTATATACAGCACTTTTCAAAACAACATCATGCGCTCACGAAGTGCTTTACAAAAGGCGACAACTCACAAGTTAAAAACAAACAACAAGAAATCCCCTCAGATTTATTTGTTAGAACTTTTTTAAAAAGGTACACAGTTGCAGCAAAAAAACCATTTTATTGATGATGATGATGATGATGAATTGATGATGATGATGATGATGGTGTCACTGCCTCCCACTGAGCGGCCGTGATCGTCAGCGAGGTGATCGACTGTCATGCAGAAAGCTTCTTTCCTGTCTTCCTGTTGTTGTGAAATGCGGCTTTATCGATTTCAAAAAGGGTGATCGATATCAGGGCTGCAGGATTTTGGAAAAATAACTTTTTTTGTGATTACTTTTTCAGATATTGCATGCAGATATACAGTTGAATTACCATCTTAAAAAACGCAGTTTTGTTTTAATTGTAGAATATGGTTAACCCTTACCCCTAACCATTATTTAGCCTTTAACCCCAACATATTAAGCTTATACATCGCCTCTCGTCCATTTTGCTATTTCCAATACCATTGATTCTGTGCCAGCCCCTTATTCTACTCTATGGGCATTTCAAAATAGGGGGTTGAACACGCTTTTTGACCAAATGGATACTCACTTACATCTCACTCTCTTCAAAAATGTGTTTCTTTTAACATTACACCTTATCAGATAACAACTTGATGCACCAATTATTCTACTGAAAAAAAAAGCAAACCAGTGACCTCGGCCTTCCTGCACTCATCCTAGACAAACCCTCTATAATCATACTTCTAGCCCTGTTTGCCCTACCCAATTTGACTGTTCATAACTACTCTGATTATGTTTAAAGGTAAAACCAATTGTTAGTTATTTTTAGCTGCAACAATCCTATTTCAGCGGAGGCACGCGCACCCAGCCCACACCCCCGCACCACACACACCACAAACCACGCAACACACCCCCATCCCCGCCAGCTGAGCTGGAGCTTGTGTGTGTGCTCCACCCGGCCAACTCCCATGACGAGAATCCAGAGCGCTGAGAAACCGCATTGAGTGATAGTAGTGCTCTGAGAAAAGCCCCGTCACTCACTATACCCATTAATATGCCCCAACCACGCACCCACGTCAACTTCACAGCTCCCCCACAACCAACATGAAACAAATACCATACCACAAAACATTTCCCCATCAGGCAAGTCTTAGGCCGTTATTAAATCCCCACGTAAAAACCCGCAACCCCTGAACAACCTGCTTCTTAGATACCACAATTACCAATAAACTAATACTAATAGATCTAACCTCCCTGACTCAATCAGAATACAATTACTAGCTCTCCAACCATCATTCCTTAAGCCTTTTATAGCCAATCAATACGTCATCACCTTATAAACCAAACCAATAGACCTTTATCTCATTCCTTTATACCCCTATTTCCAACACAACATGCCGAAATCCGCAGAGTGTTTCAACACGCATATAATTTGTAACAGACAGATCACCAACTACGTCCTGCTCATCTTCACTTCTTTTTTGGCTCTCCTCCCCCCCCCCCCCCCCCCACCACTCACTCACTCCCCTACTCCGTCCCTATTCCCCTATCCCCAACTCCCTCAATGCCTCTATTCTTTCTGCTGCACTCCAACACCATTTGTCGGGTCACAGGAGGTTACTGATTCCCCACTGAGTCGTTCCTGTGTGCACCGCTTCCAATCCCGGAGTCTCCTTGCCTTATCCAACTATCCTCGTTTGTTTCACACCTCTCTGCCTGTTACTACTACCTCTCATTTTTGTCTCTATTTGTGACAACCTCTCTCAACTGGCTTCCAAGGACCTACCAATCTCAAAGCAACCCCCCCACAATGCACACAACCATTCATGACCCATAGATCATAATCATCAGTGTACTCCACCTGTAGCCAGTTCTAGCATTACATACAATAGCCAATCAGATTTGCCGAAGAGGGCAACCAGATTTAATAACAACAACGAATTTTTTTCTCTGCTATACCAATTTTCTCCCAAACTTTATAATAAAGCTTCTGCCTGACCTCGCATTCGTGATAAACAGTTTATCGAAACCAAATCCTTTATAA